GTTCTCAGGAGTTCAAGACCCACAGGTTTTTTTCAGGGGCACCATTTGGTGGTGGCAGGGTGTGTAGACGCACACCCTGACATTTTTTTACGTACAATTGGCCTAGGTGTCATTGATACTATGGCCTTACTGCCTTGGCTTTCAGTTTGCCAATCTTTAACTATGTATTTTCCTTTCTGTTTGGTATCCTAATTTTAATTAATTAATCAAATTTATGCGATCAAAAATTTAAAAATGATAAAAGTTGAATATTATCATTAAAATTTGTATATTTTATAAACCCTACGTACAATTTGAATATTTTATAATTAATTTATATGTTATGTGTGAAAGCTAAGTATGTTTATGATAATAATAATTCTATATGGAAACGTTTTTTTTTAACAATTGGCCTGATGGTGGGAAAAAATTTGCCTTTTTAATAAAAAAACTTTAAAAAAAACCAAATTGCGCCCCTGGTCTTCTTAGCACAGAAAATGTAACCTATTTCAAGTATATTTAAAAAATGTATAGTTTCTTCTATGATATATTGATATTTTTGGATACTAGTAAAATATTTCAAATCCCTAAAATTTTATCATTTGGTTTGACCCTAGCAAAAGTATTTATATAATATCTAAAATAACATTTAATGTATACTTGTAAAAATAAATGAAAATATATTCAAAAACAATATAATTTTTATTGCAAATTTTAATAAGTTAATAAATTTAAATTAAGAGGGACGGAGTGGCCGAGCAAACTAAGGCATTCGCCACGGACGGCAATTTTCTTCGGACAAATCCCCCACCCGGACATGCCCAATCAAAAATTCTGTCAAACACAACACACACATGTAAAAACTCTACCACTACAAACCCTACTACCCACAATCAGCTAATGGCCATAGTCGCCGGGCTTTAAAGATCAATAAAAAAAAAAAAATTAAATTTATGTTTAAGGTATTTTTTCAGTAAATTTTCCATTCAATTTCTGTTGTTTTTTTGATAACTGTAATTATTAATTTTTTTTAGATTAAATATACATAAATAACCTAAATTATAACAAAAAATCTAATTATATATGAACTTTTTTAAATTTTGATTGCATTTAAAAAAAAAAAAAAAAAATATTATGATGTATTCTTTAGAACTGAGCCATTAGATAAACAATATTGTATCTGTTTTCTAAGCTGATTTTATTTAAATATATTATTTGTTGACTGCATAAAGTACCTCAATATTTAATAATTGTTGTGTGATAGTGTGTTAATTAATTATTAGCTCTTCTCATGTTTCATAAGATTACTAAACCATTTTCACATTCTTCACATATACCTAGTTATAATAATACCTTTGTGTATAGCAATGTATTCATAATAAGATATCATGGAAATATAAGATTATACTAAATGATGATCTACATAAGTATTGTTATGATTTTGTACAAATTATACTAAATTTCAAGTCTTAAATTAAAAAAAAAAAAAAATGACTAAAAAAAAAACTAAAATATATAACTAATTGGGTATTCTTATAATAAATTTAAATATTATGAATAAATTTTTGTTTTTTTAAAGTTAAAAAATTGTTTATAAGTTTTATTTTTACACTTTTTAAGTTTTTTTTCTATATTTTTTTGAATGATTAAATTTATTTCTTCACATTTGATAATTATGCATAAATCAAGATATATACTTAACATTTAAAATTTAGTATATATTATAATGCTTAATATACATGATATTTATATTATATAATTATTAATTACACAAGGTACCTACTACCTAGTCATAGAATAGATTCAACAAGACCAGTCCACACCAGGTTTTGCCATCAGAATAGTGTCATTTTTACGGAATTACTAGTGTTTCATTTTATGTTTTCAATAATGAATAATCATTTTATTTTTAACATCAACATCGAGAATCAGATACTATATACCTACCTATTATTACATTATATCAAATATACGAGACAATTTGCGATAGATATTTTTAAGCAAATTTCCGATCTCTTTATAACTTGAGCTTTTATGATCGTGAAAAATGTCAAATTTTTAAATTTTGTCCCGCTCTCTCCCCCATACATCATAACTACCTTCCCTGACTGTGGGTCCCGATGCAGCACAAAAATATATTCACCCCCCACCTAAACATTTCTGGGCGCGCCATCGCTTTTCTACGCATACATAAAATACAGGGGCCAAGTACCATACATAAATCAGGTTGGCCAACCTAAGCGCATGACTTGGGAACATAGACTTCTCCCTTCTCCCCTCCATTCTTGCTTCGCGTTCTATATAATAATAATTATTATAATATGCGGTCTAGAACGTTCCGCCATCATTAGAACGACTAACGAGGCCGTTTATCTTTTTTTTCATTTCACACTATAGAAATTTGTTTTTAATAGAAAATTGTTGATTTGACTGCCTTATGCTTTTTGCTGTTCACATATTTTTTATGGTTATTTATTATTTTTTTATACATTTTCTTCTGCTATGACTAACATTGACGCATTTTGTTTTTTTGGGGTAAACATTTTTGAAAACTTTTTCAGTTCCAATAGTGTAGTTACGATCGATATAATTGGGATTAAGACGATTTTGTACAGTCAATGAAAGGTACGCTTGTCGTGAAAAAAGGATCGTAACCATCCCAGCTGGGTACCAAGTACCGGGTGTTTACTGTTTGGTGACTAGTGGCGTTACGGCGGTTTCGGTTGTCCGCGGCGGCAATAATTTTCAATATTTCCGATCCGCGGGTTTTTCCTTCCGTTCCGACATACGCCGTGCCCACTGCAGGCTGTAGCTCTCTGCCCGCTGCCCCGTTCCGCGTTCGTTCGGCAGTATAGTACTATAGTACGTTCCCGGTCGGTTCTCCGCCACTTCCTTTTTCCTGCGCTACGTCATAGAATTTCGTGATCACGTGACCGGCAGCGCCATCTTGCTTGATTTTGGTATTTTTGTTGGCTCCCTGTTGGTAATGCTCTGATCGCTCGGCTCTACTACTGACTATTTCATACGGCGGGCAACGTTACTTACTATATCTATATCGTACCAGTGTACTACATACAACTACTACAACTACCAAAAAGGCTTTCCCCCAGTTTGCGTGACGTGTGGCTTTGTGTTTGTGTGCGTACGTACTTGTAGTAACGTCTTGCGCCCGTTAGGACAGACGCATTGCCATTAATCGACATCGTGAAGTTTTCATTTTTTAATATTCATAACATATATAGAGGTACCTGAGAGGTATTGTATTTTTTTTTTAAATTTTTTTTTACCGTTCCCGAGATAGTGTTTGTTGTTATTACAAAAGGTGCGCGACAATATGATTTCCGCGTTCGTCGATCCGTACACGCGCGTTAATTCGAAAACAAAAATGTGATCTGAGTTACGACCAACACTACAGTACATGAAGCGAACAGCAGTGCGTCGTCATCGGTCCTCTCGCCGCTGCGGCCTCGTTCGTGCGGCGCGTAAACAACTCCGCCGGATAACAACCGCCACACGGAGGGCCACTTTACCCCTTCGTCGTTCATATATTTAATACAACTCTCCTCCATCGATCGATCGGCGATTGCATTATAACGTGAGTGTTGTCGGCGTACATAATATTACAATTTATTACAATACACAGGTACGCGTATCGTCGTTCGTCTGTCGTCGATTCGTTTACAGTTTCTATAGTTCTGTTACGTCCGTGGTTATCGAACTTTTCGTGTTTTCGTCTTTGGGCCTCGCACACTGTTTGTCTGTTTGTGAATACCCGACTACGATGATAATGACTAAGATACACCGCCGACGACGTCCGTCGAATACATCGATACACGTACCTTGTAATAATAATATCGTAGGTAGGTAGTATGAAACATATTAAGCAGCTATGACTCGTACTGAATAATTCCGCGTTCGTTGGCGTCATATCGGCGTTTTTCTAAAGCGGTGGTGTTAGGTTAGGTTTTCAGCTTCCGTTCGGCCATATACGATTATTATTTATAATCAAAAAAATCTTATCAACACATATCGCGGACGACAAACGGCTATTTCGACGGAGCACAAATAATATACGTTATTCGAATGTCAACCAGACGTCCGATGACGATTATCTATATCATATCGAATGAACCGACGGGTGATTACATTACAATAATTATTATGTTTAAAATCGTTTCAATCGCGTGATGGAATGTTCTTCATGTTCGATTGTCGATTCCCCTGAGCAAATTGGGCGAATTAAGGCGTTTTGATAACTATTTCTCCTACTGATTCGGCGATAAATGATTTAGGTCAATAATATTAATCGAATGCACTCGCCCTGTATGTATATGTAGAACATGTTCTGAGATGTCGAATTTATTATTATTCGTTTTTAATAATGTATCTAGTCTTTTATGTCGGTTTTTTAACAAACGTTAAATTACTAGTTTGGTTATCCACTTTCCGCACTTAACTGAAACTAAATGGAAACAAGAACATATTAAACAATTTTAATCTTATACTATGAAATTCTAGCATTAAATAATAGATATCTTGAAACAATTTTTTTTAAATACCTCCATTCAAAATATTTATGTTAAATTTTGAAATTGTTTTATTAAGTAAATAATTTTATATAGGTACTTGCATAATTTATTTGTTCATATTAACTTGAACTAGGTATATATATTTCCATGTCTATTAGTTATAAGTTATAACTTTAATAAATAACAAATGTTTAATAATACAGGTACCTAATTTAAAATGTTTGAATTTGAAAATATGTGTACTTATTCCGTTATGTTGTAAAAATAGCTATTACTTAATTTTATTTCTACTTTATTGACAAATTATATCAATCAGCAATTTTAGTTATATCAATTAACTATTATTCACACTATTAATAGGTACTAAGTAGTTTTTATATTTTGGGGATTACATATATCATATTGTGGGCTTACCTTTTATTTAAAAATTAAAATGTTTAATGTTACAATTTATTTTTAGATTCATTTTCATTCGCTTAACTATTCAATGAAATGGCAGACACAGAAATTGAACAAATAACTGAAACTGATTTAAGTACGTAAATAAGTAGTTACAGTTTAAATAAGAATTCCAAATTCCTCCGGTGTATATTTTTTAAAATTGAAATAACTAAATTATTGATTTATTGTTTGTTCTAGGTGTCAAATTAAATGGTAATATTCGTGCAAGTACTGAACAACTTAAACAATCAATTGATTCACAAAAAACCAATAAAATGATTGATAAGAATGAACAGAACCGTGGTTCCAGTTTGAATTCTGATAAAAGTCTTATAGGAAGTAGAAAATCTTTATCGAATTGTAGTAATGATGGTGAAGATGATTATTGTGAAATAAATGATGAAGATAATGACAGTGAAGATGAACATCAAATTAATAATGCAGACTGTAAATCAGATAATAGTATTATCGAAGATGATCAGACTCTTGACAGTGAAAATGCAACCATAAATAGTGACGATTTGTGTGATCCAGAAAACAGTTATAATGGTACCAAAGAAATAAATAGCAATGACAATGAAGAACAAATGGAAGTCGATGATACAGTTGATGAACAAAAAACAGAAGATGATGAACAAATGGATGACGAAGATGACGATGGCGATGACGATGAAGAAGATGAAATAATTGATCAAAACGATACTGAAAGTAGGTCAAATGAGATAAAAAAATCATTAGAAGATTCTAGAATTAATCTTGATAAATCTGTGACTATTGTTAAAGTTCCAGATCCAAAGCAAAATTCTGGTAGTAGTGGTAAAAAAAAAATGAAAAGTTTACCTGATATAACCTTAACTCCACGCAGAAGTACACGGAATTTAAACAAACTCAAAAGTTTTAGTGATAAAGACGAAGAGAAGAAAGATAGTGTAATAGTAGATGACAGCACTAAAATTTTACCTCAGAAATCACCAATGATAACCAAACCAATTGTTGTTAATGACACTAAAAAATTAGTAGAAATTGCTGCTGGAACAAAACAAAAAAGTAACAAAAAAGAACCGACTTTAGTTATCATTGATACTAACATGTTAACAGGACGAAGTAACTTACCTATTGCGGTGTCTGTGCAATCAAACACTTCAAATAATGCAATGAATGTCACTCAAACCGTTAGTAAATCGATTCAAAATTCCTATAATCGAGTGCAACACTCACAAACTACTATCAAGCCTTTCATATTAACTACTACACCAACTGCTGTTACAGTACCTACAAATGTTCCAAAACCTCCAATCATATTACCAACTCTAACTGATGATATGTTTGTTGTTGAAGCTCCGTCTTTTATTGTGCCTTATGTCTATGAAAAGCCACCCAAAAAACCATTAAAAGAGTTTGTTGAAAAAATTGTAAAAATAAAAGTTTCTAAAGGAGATGAAGAAGAAAATCAATGTGAAGAATCTTTAGATAAGAAAAACGAAAATAACCAGAAGGAAAAGATAAGTAAAAAATCGGAAACTAATGAAAAGATGGATGTCGATGAGTCAGTAAATGAAGTGTCTGGTTGCGAAAAAAAAACAGATAATTGTAAAGAAAATAGTCCTAAAAATAATGAAAATGGGGATGAGAAAATGTTAGATGAATCAGAAAGTACTAAAAAGGATGATTCAATTTCCAAAAATTTGTCTGACTCAACAGATTTAAAAAAAAGCGATAGCATTACCGATCTCACTGTTGACTCTGATGAAAAGAAAACTGATGTTGTTAAACCAAAGATTCAAAGTCCCAACTATTTTGAAAATCCATTAGGTAAGTTTTTCATGCAAATAGGTGTAAACCTTGTTCAAGAGCATGTTCAACTTGATCTATTACGTACTCAGAGAAGAAAAAGAGATCGCGAAGGTGATAAATGTCCCCAAGAAGTTCACATGGCTATTAGTTCTTTAATTAAAACTTTGGAATTTAGTAAAGAGAATAATGATCCATTCCAATTTGGTTTAAAAAAATGTGAACTATGTAATTTTAAATCTGAATCAAGTTTAGTAATGGCTCATCATTTAGAGACTCCACATATGACAGCCAATTACTGCTATAGATGTAATTTTTGTACTTTCCAAGTACGTAGTCCTCATGAAATTTTACAACATATGGATACACATAACATTAGAGGACGCTTAGAAAGAGGTCCAGCTTTACATCAATGTCCAAGTTGTCCATTTGAAGATAGTTATAAGGGTAAATTAACAAGACATTTGATTTCTTGTTCGAAAAAATATCGACCGGAAATCAATCAGGTAAAGAAAGTTTAGATTTTTTATACAGAGTAATATATTATGTATTTATGTGTATGAAGTACATTTAATTTATTAATTGTTTACTCATAGGCACCTCCATTAGATTGGGAACCTCCAGCAAAAATACCCAGGGTATTGCGAAATAAACCTTCAATGAGTCCTGGCAATGCTGTTTACCAAGCAGCTATGTCTGGATTTAAACAATTTCCCAATCCTAATATGTTGCAATTACAACAGCAACAATATAATAAAATGGTTCTTGCTTCTGGTGTTAGAGCCCGTGGCCGTACTGTTTTACCAGGACAGCGGTTTCCAGGAATGGTGCCTTCTTTTCCAACTACACTGCCAAATCAAACTTCTGGAGGTTTGTCAGTTACTTATTAAAACTAATTTAACAAAAACAATAAATTCCTGTTATATTTATTATAGGTAGTAAAGTTTATTGTAGGTACATAAAATGAAATAGCATTAACAGTTGGAAAATATATCAAATATTTTTAGTAATTTATTGTTAAGTTATTGACTATGATTACTTTCTATTACAATAGATTAATGTATATTAATTATATAATAATATATATTCAATCAAAATAATAATATCATATAATATTTGTTCACAGGAATTTTGCTTAAGAATACTAGTATCAAACCAATCAATCAACCAATTATTGTCCCTACACCTTATTCAATGAACAATCACACATATCAGGTAATTAATATTTGTATATGTTACGAGGAAAAATTGGAAATTTAAAAACAAAAAAAAGTATGAAAGTTATCAATCTTATTATTATACAACCTGGTTGTATTCCATTCTTCAAAAGTAAATTTAATTTACATATAGTTATGGTTTAATCATAATTTAGGCTGGAATTTTGAAACCTTAAAATTTTTATTTAATAATTTCATACTCAAAACTAATGTGTATTTTTTATTTTTCATTTAAGATTCTTATTAATAAATACTATAAAAATAATATTTATTCAACCGAATGAAAATATTTTGTCACCAGAAACTGTTGTGAAAGGTGATAAATATTTTGTATAAATATTCAGTATGGACTTAACTTTTAGTTCATAATAATGCAACTTAAAACTTGTTGAGTATTCTCTATCTGAAAGTTGGCAAAAAAATGTTTTAAAAATTAAAATCAGAACTTTCAAATCAATAAATTTCTCATTTTACTCATAATCCTATATTGTATTGACCATGATTATAGATATATATATTTAAAACAAATTAAAACATTAATTACATAAAAATCTCAGTCATAATAATAATAAGTTAATAAACGAAAATTGATATAAAAATATTAAATTTATAATTAGTTTTTTAGTATAAAACATGATAAATTGGTAATATTTGTACACTGATATCACTTCCAATTAATTAAGAAAACTTTTTATTTATTTATTTTTAGCAAAATTCAAATAGTAGTAAATCTGTTCAACAGCCAAGTATATCTATAACACCTCTGCCTCGATCATTTCCATCGAATAGCACACAGTCAGCTTTTGTGTCTACAATATCTAAATCCAAGCCCCAACAAACTCAGTCGTCATCCACTTCAACTAATAGTAGCAACAAACCAACTTTTGTAATTTGTGAAATATGTGATGGCTACATTAAAGACCTAGAACAATTGCGTAACCATATGCAGTGGATACATAAAGTGAAAATTCATCCAAAGATGATTTATAATCGACCACCGCTTAACTGTCAAAAGTGTCAGTTTAGATTTTTTACTGATCAAGGTCTTGAAAGACATTTACTAGGATCACATGGTTTGGTCACATCTAGTATGCAAGAAGCTGCTAACAAGGGCAAAGATGGTGGAAGGTAATATTATTTATTTTTATAATTATCTCTAGATCTCGTGTGTTCATATTTTTAATAATTTCAAAATTAGATGTCCAGTATGTGGTAGAGTTTATCAATGGAAATTGTTAAACCATGTAAGCCGTGACCACTCTATATCATTAAAACCAGCTCATTTATCTTACAAATGTACCGTTTGCACTGCAACATTTGGCATGTATAAACAGTTTGAAAACCATGTATATTCAGCACACAGTAATGTAGCTAAAAACTCAAACAAGAAACCTCTTGGGAATCAACCTGTAGCCTCTTCGTCTTCTTCATCAACTTCTATAACGTCTTCACCAAAGGTAAATAATTAAGATTATATGTTTATTTTAAAATGTATGATGTTTATATTATTTAATAAAAATTTTGTTTTTTTTTTATTAGCCATTAAAAATAAATGATGAAATTACCATAATACCACAACCACCTAAGATTCAAAATTTGTCTGTTAAAAGTAGTAATAGTAATAAACAAGTTACATCCGCTGGAAAACAAAGTTCAACTCCGACAGCAAAGGCCAAAGTATGAAAATTTAAAATACAATAATATATTTTACAACATTTAATTACATAACAATATCCCAAATATTTTTTTCCTATTATATTTTTATAGCATAAAATATGCTTTAAGGGTCGATTTCACCAACACGGTTAATCATGGTTAAAGTTAACTGGAGTTTTAATCGGCCAAATTTGGCCGGTTAAATATCTGTTATCAGCCGATTAAGCGTTAACTGTGTTGGTGAAATCGGCCCTAAGTGACGTTACTATGAAAATAATTTTATAGAGTAAAATCATAAAACAATTACTCAATTGTAATTTATTTAAGTGATAAAAATCATTTACACCTTAGATTAAGTTTACTTTTTCATCTTTTGATGATTTATTTATTTCAGTATACTGTAACTATAAAATAAATATCATTAGCTTAAAAATTCTTATATACATATATATTTTTAGTTGTAAATAAAAAATAATATGAAGATATTTGATTTTTAGTTTTGAAGAACACGAAAAATATCAAAGGTTATTGGCTTATCCAGTTTACTCAAGATATTTTTAATTTTGTTAACATATTATCAGGTCACAAGAATGACAGGTAACATAATTATCTCTTCGAATTTAAGAATTCGCCAATTATAATTTTTATAAATATAATGAATATTATTATTGTTGATTTCAAAATTGTATTCTGTTTTTTGATTACGACAAACAGTGTGTAGACTTATATTTAATTATATTTTACCTAAATGTAATCTATGAATATACAATTTGTTATAAATATTACTAATTAGAAATAATTTTATATTAACGTTATTCCCAGAATATTATGTATATTGTACCATCTATCCATGACTGTAAATAACAGTATGTTTATTTTCTCAGTGGAGGTGTATCTATTATTTTTGTATATCAAACAATCAATTACACACTTTATTTAAGTTGTTCCCATCCTTTATTTATTTTATTATTATTAATTTTTTTTTTTTTTATTTTACTGAAAGCACTTGTACTGTTTATATATATATATATATATATATATATATATATATATAACCGTATTAAACAATTTATTCTAACAATTAAATACTAGTTTAGATCAGTGTATAATATGCCAATGCTATTATGTACCATATTGGATGTACATTAAAAATATAAAATAAGCCTATATTTCTATACTCTGAAATTTTATTTTTAATTGTTTCTTTTATTCAGACTAATCAGACTGATCGAATAACATATTATTAAAGTTAGTAATAACTTAAAAAAAAAATACAATTATTATACTTTGGAGATTACATTTTTTTAATATTATATCTCCAAATAATAAATGTCTGAAATAATGTAAAAACCATGTTTATATTTATTGACAGCTAATAGTTTTTACTCTTTTTTACATGTAAGTCTAAACATTTCTTTTACTTAAAAATTGGAAACAAAGGGAAAAAGTAATGATATTGTGACAATTTGTATATTTATCATTCAAACATTGATTTAACAAATAATATTATGGTAAGCTTATCAAGTTTTTCTTAGCAATCTTTACCCAAAAACTACTAAATTTGCATTGAGTGTGTTTATCAAGAAATAAGTTCTCTGCTGATAGGTGTTGAATGTGAGTGAAAATGTCATCAGGGGCGGATTCGGGGGGGAGGGGCTAGCCCCCCTTCCCAGACATGTTTATTATAAATATACATATTATATTTTAAATAACAAATAAACAAAATCTAAACTTCTTTTCACATTGCCGATTTATTTATTAAATAATCAATAATTTATTTATCACATAGAATACCTATACCTACTATTATGACAACATTTTTAAATTAAAAATAAAGTATAAAATATTTTATTATAATTGTATTTGTGTTGTAAAAAAATTGTTGCTCCCCCCAGATCTTTGCTCTGGATCCGTGCCTAGTGCTAGTCATTGACTAGGTCACTGTAATAGATGTATTATTAAATTTAAATTCAATAATAAATCGTTGTTAATTATGGTAAAAGATTCTGATCAAAGAGGGTCTTCAGCTTATGGATAAATTACTATACTCTACATTTTTTAGTTTATGTTTATGCCTCGCTGGATTCCCTTAAAACTGATTAAGTTGCACATCGCTAATAACTCGTACATTAGAATTGTACTGAGCTGTTAAAAAATTAATCATTTTTTTTATGTAATATGGCATTAGAATTATATGGGTATGTCGAAGAAGAGGATTGTACATCCATCATTCATACATGTCCCGTCCGGATTTAGGGGCTATTCAGCCATTCATTCTAATTTGCCTGTGTGGTACATTTTTACATTTTTTTTTTGTGTTAAGCCGCATATAATTACATCAATATGTAGAAAATTAATTTTAATGTCGATTTGTAGGCAGAAATTTAAAAAGCATGTAAGTGGGTAACACTGCTGTACCTACATTAGGTGTGTAGAGACGTCACTGCAATGGATATGTTAAATTTGAATTCAATGATATAAAATCATCTTCTTCTTCGGGTGTATCGGCCACTAGGACCATCCCGTCAAACATCCCTCCCTCCAGCCGTCTCTGTCGGATGCTCGTTCCTTCCAATCTGATCCTCCACCTAAGGTACTTACATCTTTTTTAACCAGATCTTCCCATCTCATACGAGGTCTTCCCAGAGGTCTCTTCCCAACTGGATCTTTCTCTAACACTATACGTAGCAAGGGGTTCTGACTACACCAAGCATGACCAGCCCACTTTAGTCTTCTACTCCTTATTGTGTCTAGTATATTTGGCTTCTGGAAAAGTAGTCCTAGTTCATAAAATCATTGTATACGAAAAATGATTCTGAGCTAAGACTGTCTGTCAGATGGTGCTTTCTACACCGCCCTGCCATTGGTTAATCCAGACGACATAACTGAGAGAGAGCAAACATGTTTGGGCTATATGTTTTAACTCCCTGTAACGGCCCCAAAACCTCTTTTCTCTCTCAACAATCCCATCTGGAGATTTCTCTCTCTATGCGCTGTCCATATTTAGTTTATAGGTCTATGGTCAGGGGCGGAGTGGCCGGTCTGGAAATGGGAATTTTCCAGATGGCCTGGACCATACTATGGCCTGGTGGCCTGGCCATTTTGTTAGATTTTTTTTTTTAAATTTAATTGAATTTACAAAATATTAGTTAATGCTAAATGTTTGTTTCTATTAAATTTTTTTTTTTTTAATTAATTTATTATAAAAGCTTTGGATATAAAATTACAAAATATTTGGCACATAAATATAGACATCAAATAAAATCAAAGCAATATAATATTGTAATAGGTTGGTTATTTTTATAATAAAACACCCATTTTAAACATTGAAGTATTTAAAAATTAAGCTGAGAAATTCAATGACCAATGATTATCTTGAGTCTTTTATGCTTATGGCCATTGAAAATAAAATTCTCATGGAAATAGATAACAATATTATCATAAATGCAGTTGGTGAGAAATCTAATCTATTATCTAAATTATTACTATGAATGTATAAATCTTTTTCATTATATATTGTTTACAATGTTTGTATATATCTATTACTTATTAGTTATTACCTTATATCTACTATACCTAAACAATTAAAACACAATGTAGGTATAATATAATTATTAATATTTCGTTGATTTCAACTATTAAACCATACCTACTAATTTTATTTTCAGACTTTCAGGAATAAGTAGGTACCTAGTAGGTACTTAGTGGTATATTAATATTATGTGTTAGAAGACAGAAGTTAAAAGAAATAGCAAGATAGTGATTGAAATACTTTTATAATACTAAAAGTAGTTTTCAAATAGGTAAATAGAAAAACCAAATTCGAGCTTAGCGAAAAAAAAAATGTTGGTGGGTGGCCTGGATAAATTTTAAACTCCCGGCCTGGATTTGGTTCCCACTCCGCCCCTGTCTATGGTAGTTCGTTTATTATTATTATACCGGATTATTATGCACTGTTAATGTACGCATCATAAATGGTCGAAAACTCGAAAATGCAATCACTATTATAGGTATAGTCGTATAGAATAATGTATAATATAAAAAAATAAATTGAAAAAAGGTTATCCATATGCAGTTAGTATCAACTATCAATCGCCGCTACTGAAATAGGTCACTTCCCGGCTGCTGCTCTTGCCACACAATATACTATTAAAAGTTTCAAGTACCCAGTGGCCAGGAATAATATTTTTAAATTAGGTAAAACAAAACAATTAAGATCGTTAATCTTCGTGTCCACCTGAAAATGTCGCATCATACCGACCGATTCACTCCTTCCAAGTTTATCTAAAATGTTAGAGAAACTTCTGCTTAAACGCCTAAAACCGATTTTAGAGGAAAAAAATCTTATACCAGAACATCTGTTTGGATTTCGCAGCCAACATTCAACAATCGATCAAGTACATCGAGTTACTAATGTGATTAGTAAAGCTCTTGAAAAAAAAAATTACTGCTGTGGAGTATTCCTTGACGTAGCCCAGACTTTTGACAAAGTCTGGCACAAAGGATTCCTCATCAAACCGCGTAATCAGCTGCCACATACATGGTATGCACTTCTTGAATCATACTTGACCGACCGTCAATTTCGAGTCATACACGAAGAAGCGATAACCGAATGGAAAGATATATCAGCTGGAGAACCAAAAGGTAGTGTTTTAGGACCTATCCTGTACCTACTCTATACGGCTGATCATAGGCGTGCGCAGGAATTTTGTATGGTGTGTGCCATGAAGAAAATTCGGCCGCTTTCCCTTATATGGGCCTAAGCAAATCTAACCTAACCACAATCTAAAAAAAGATAAATTTAATGCAAAATATTAATTCATAAAAATGTATATTGATTAAATGTTGTGCTTCACAAAATGTTGATATATTTTTACAATAAAGTATGTACCTATTACCTAATGGTACATATAACAATAAATAGAACATAACAAATAAAATAAAAATGTTACATCACTAAACGTAAAATAAAAATGTTTTAATTATTCTAAGGTTTAATAATAAACAGTGAACATAAAAAATAAAAATATTTTAATGGTAATCTTCTTTGTATGGGACTCAAAACTTTAAACTCTTCAATAACGCTATTGAAATCTACTGATTCGATCATTTCTCGCTCAACGAATAAAAATAAAAGTGATTCTAAATTCTAATCGTTCTTGTGACATTGTAGACCGTAGTTTAGATTTGACTATGGATAATTTGGAGAAAGCCCCGTTCACAACCACAACTTGTAACGTTGTAACTGGTATAACAACAGACTTGGTAAGGACTTCATAGAAATCGGTAAAAATATTTTTCCTATTTGAATCCACTAACCAATCCAACCATTCATAAATAGTGTGAGTACATGTACCAATTGGAATATCTTTTATTGATGCAAGTATTTTGACTTCAGAGTCCAAATCTTTATTTAAAATGTTGAAAAATGTTTTTATAACTGAATAATCTTCAATAGTCGGTTGTAATTTAATTAAATTACCAACCGAAGTAATTACTTCCA